CGGGCACGCCCTACCATCGGCGCCGCCCCTCGGAGTTGAGCCTGCCGGAGGGAACGCCGCTGTTGGTGGCCTCGATCTGCTCGGGGTGGCGGCGGCGGAAGTATGGCTCCCAGAGCGGGCTGTCGGGGACGTAGCGTGGCCCCTCCCTCGCCGCCGCAGCAGGGAGGCGCGGATTCGCGCGATCCCGCACGCCGCGCCGCCCCGGTCGGCGGCGGTGGCACCGGGACCCCGCCGGCGCTGATTCTCCATGCCCCGGGTACCCGCATGTCCGGCGGGACCAGATACTCGGCCTTAAAAAGGAGCCGAGTTTCGTCCTCGTGAAGGTGGCGGTGGCCAAAGCCGTTCGCCGCCGCACCGTCGCCTGGGAAGCGTTCGGCCATTTTTTGAGCTGGAGACGGCGAGAGGAGAGGGAGGAAGGGGGAGAAAGGTGGCGTCGGTGGTGGAGACTCTGTGCGTGCCACCGGCGCGCTTGGGGTCGGCTTTATATAGGCAGAGGCGCCGCGCATACGCGTGGCCGCCGCGTTACGCGTGGCATGCGAGGGGACGCGCGTCGTCTCGTTTTCACTGCGCCGCCCGTGAGGCATCAATGGCGGAAGCTGACCGGCGCGGCAGCTTTAGCATTGATTCGCCACGCGAAACGAGGCGATGAGGACGACGAAGCGGCGAGAAGCGAGACTAGTCGCTGGCAAGGAGGGCCCGCGGCTCTTTCGCGGTAAAAACGATTCGCCCGGCGTCCCCGAGCGCCCCCCAGCACGCCGGGGTCGGGTTGGGTCCGCCGGCGCCAATTTCGGCCCGAGCCGGTGAAAATTGAGCCCTTGAGGGCGCGACTGGGCCGATTTTTTAAACGTCGGCAGCCGAAAAGTCACCTGGTGGGCCTTGTTGGGGACGCGGCTGAAGATGCTCTAACATTTGTGTCCAACATTAAACATTTGGTGAGAAAAGAACAAAAGCAAAAAACAGCAACACCACCCGTGGTTTTCCTCACCTCTCATGGAAGAGACCATGGGTCGCGGCACAAGCAGACACGCACATTGACATCGGCAGATCAAATGGCGTAGCTGCAGAAATTAAGGAGTAGAAGCAGCGCATGCACACAAGCACGGGGAGAGCGCCTTTGACCTCTGGAGTCTGGACCGCGAGACTTCCACTCCTTCCCTTGACCCCTCTACCCCTATAAATAGACGCCCTTCCTCCAGCCCTTCTCACCACTCCTCTGAATACGGATTGTTTTTAGACGAGGAGCAAAGCAGTAACATCAGTTGTGTCCTGAGACGAGGAAGCTAATAGAGGTTTTGGCTGTGCGGTTTGTGCTGATTTGTTTTTTAATCAGTATTTTTCTTGATGGCGTTTGCTTTTCCAGGTGGGAAGAAGTTCGGAGAACATGGCCACGATGGGTGGGGACCGAAGGCAAATGATGGAGGATGCGGCGGAGGACAAGTTTCCCGAAGGGTTACGCGTCCTCGTCGTGGACGACGACCGCGTCTGCCTCATGGTACTTGAAGCCCTGTTGCGCCGCTGTAAATACCAACGTGAGTCTCTTGATCCCTCCACTTCGCCATAGTCCATTAGAATCGGGACCTTGTGATCTATTTGTTTCTCTGCGAATAATGCTTGCCGCTATGCAGCAACGACGGTGATGGATGGAAAGACGGCGCTCAGGATGCTCATGGCGGGGAAGCAGCAGTTCGACCTGGTCATCACCGACGTGCGAATGCCGGACATGGACGGCTTCAAGCTCCTCGAGCTCATCCGCCTTGAGATGGATCTGCCCGTCATCAGTACTCTCACTGCTCTCAATCCAAAGTCCAATTTTTGAGCTTTCTATCCATGAACACTGACAATTGTTTTCAAGAACGTACTTTTACTCCTCAATCTTGTTGATACCTTGAGAGGATATTAATTTCTTTGGGCAGCGTGTGAGATCCTATATGAGTCTCTTTGATTCAAAGGATCTTTATAGGATTTTTGAAGGATTGGAATCCTTAGGAATTTTTCCTACGTTGGTTGTTTGATTCGTAGGATTAAATCTTGTAGGATTTTTTCCTAAGGATTTATTTGTACTAAATTTCACAGGAATTGTAACATCCACTCCAATCTCTTGGAAGAAATCCTTTGCTTTCCCCATTCCACAATCAAACAAACTCAAATACAATAGGGATGCAATGGACATGCCATTTCAATCCTACGTTTTTCCTATTCCTGTGTTTTTGCAATCCTACGAATCAAAGAGGCCCTATATGTAGGACGATTTTATGAAACCACACACACATGCACAAAACCCACACTCTATTTCTAACCTGGAAGAGTTCTAAAGAACGGGATCCCCACTGAGTCCGAACCAACGGGGTCCCATCTAACCGTTCACTCGTCCGATCGGATGGCGAGTGAGGTAGGAGAGCGGAGGTGGAGCGACACATGAGTTAGTAGGGGACGTAGTGTCGGTTTCTAGCCCAAACCAATGGGATCCTATCTAACCATCCGTCTGATCGGATGGTGACTGGGGTAGGAGAGCGGAGGTGGAGCGACACATGAGCTAGTAGGGGACGCATTGTCGGTTTCTAGCCCAAAACAATGAGATCCTATCTAACCATCCATCCATCAGATCGGATGGATGGTGGGGATGGGGAACAAACATGGATAGCACGTGATTGTGAGATCCCAATTGTTGTTTTTAATAATTGGGCTAATAGTGTTTAGTAGGCTAGAGACATGGTCACTCCAATGGCTAATTTGGGCTAGTGAGAGTCTCTGTCACTCCAATGTAAAATAGATTCCACATCCACGCGTTCGATGGGCGTATTTATGGACTATCTAGAATTTAATTTTATAAATGAGTAGTTTGGCTTAGTGAGACTCTCTATCACTCCTATGTAATGTAGACCCCACTATCCACATGTTCGATGGTTTTATTTATGGACAAATATAATTTAATTTTATATCATCTCAATTAATTGTACAATCCTACCAATAAGAATGAAAACTTTAATCTATTCATAGTTCATGAAATGACCAAGTTATTTTTTTTTTCAAAGCTAATATTAAAATTCGCGTTCTAACAATCACACAAGGTATACGATTGCGCCACACCTGTTTGCTAGGGTTGCATGAATACTACAATTAAGAAATACATATGTTGTATTGATATTTTTTTTGAATTGTATTGATATTATTAAGATTACTACTCATCTTCATTCTCCTTAAAGTTGTTACTCCATATGACAATTTACTCTCAAGAATAGCATGTAAAGTAGGGATGCCCCTTTTAAGTACATACATGAGTAGGTTAACCATGGGTAATACCTACAATACTGCATATTTGTTGACTTTGAATAAGCACATTAATTTGTAGTCAAATTACTTTCACTGAAAGTGCAGCCACAAATACTTATTTTCCTGAATCTCTACTATTATTGCACAAAAATTGTCCAAGATAATTCTTGCCCAATCTCTACCTCGCCCACAGCTGCATGCAATTAATTAGCTATATAGTTAATTACGCATGTCAATTGTCCAAACGTTAATTTATGGAAACTATCACCGAGCATTGGACAAGAGGACCACGTTAATTATGGAGAGTATCATTCTTTGGACGAGAGTATCACGTTAATTATGAAACATATCATCGAGCACTGGACAGTAGGACCACATTAAGCATGGACATTATCATGTAGAATATGTATGTCCCCGTGGCAAGCACAAACAATTAGCTATTCGTAATTAAAAAGCTATTGACAATGGTGGTTAACGTTTACAAACTAATATGAGTGTGATCACTTAAAATGCTTAGAGTGTTACGTGGGCCGATATATGTTACCTAGTATGCTAGAGAAACTTGGCTGACTGCCAATAATAATACTTGATCTTCAGGTTCACCAATAGTTAGACATGATGATGTGATTTCCTTGTGTGGAACATGTTGTGATATGGCTTAGTCATTGTGTTACCGTTATTGTTTTAACCTTTGTTTTCGTATCTTCCTATAGAACGTGTGTAATTTTTCCCATTTAGTTTGCATTGAAGAAGAATTATAAAACTGAACATTGAAATGCTTTTGCGTCTATAGGCACTTTGACCAAAACATATGTCCACTTCATAGATTTTTGTGAATTTCTGAATTCTAAATCTAAGTCATTGGTCCTATGGCATGCAGTGATATCCGTTGATTGCAACAAGAAGGTTGTGATGAAGGGGATAGATCATGGCGCGTCCGACTTTATGGTGAAGCCAGTGCGTACCCATGAGCTCAAAAACATATGGAAACATGTTCAAAGGTGGAGAAATCCCAAAGCAATAAGCCACATCAGCGATCATGACAATGATGTCCAGAGAGTTCAACCAGCGACTACTGACAAGAGTAAGTACTCGGGGAATAAGAGAAATGTTGGAGATGATTCTAGCAAGAACAATGAGGGCACGCATATATCCACCATCCACAGAAAGCCCAGGATGACATGGACAATTGCGCTGCATAACAAGTTTCTAGAAGCTATCAACCAGATCGGCCTTGATAGTAAGAATTCACATCTTGTGCCTCATTCATCGACAATGCTGGTGGCTGCTCGATATTTTCATTATAATTTTTATTACATAATTGTAGGGGCTGTTCCAAAAAAGGTATTGGAGCTGATGAATGTGGATCACCTCAGTAGAGAGAATGTTGCGAGTCATCTACAGGTTTATTTGCAACCTTTATGCTTAATTTCTATGTTTTTGTTACTATTATTCATAGTCTAACATTTTTTCATATATAAGTGAAAGCTTTTATTTTCTGGGGAACATATCAGTCAAAGCTCTAGTAATGGAACTACCATGATGTGTAATTCTAATTAAGTGTGTCCCTTAAAATGCGAGGCTTATCTCATATAATGCATGCCCCACATTTTTAGGAGTTTTTTTCCCATGCAACATCTTCAGTTCTTATTGTACTCACATGTTTACGTTATTTTTTTCGATGATCATCCATCTTATACCTTGTTATTTTGTCTATCTTTTTATTTCAGAAGTATAGATTGCACTTAAAAAGAGTTAAGTCAAATCCCTCTAGTGATGCATATGAAAGATGGAACTCATCGTACAACATGAACAACAAGGGCAATTTCATGCATAATCACGAACATGGAAGATGGAGTGTGTCCTCTGGCGACACTGCCTCTTGGAGTACAAACAAGTATGGTTCAACGGGTCACTTGGCTCCGCCGATGAACATCCAAAGCAACTTCTACACAGGGTCATACCTCCATGATCGTAGAATGCCAAAGTATGTTGGGAAACTACCGTCGGATGCGAGAAGATTCACAGGTTTTGCTGACCCTCCCGTCAGCCTATACGACAACATACCCAATGAGATAATGTCAGATGAATTTCCATCATTCAATTATAGTAATTCCTATGCTAACATCATGCATGGCAAGATAATGGAGATAAGCAAAGGCAAAACCCCTTCCAATCTTCAAAGTTCATTTGCAAACACAACAGTTGGTGGCGGGAGGTCTCTTGTTGCATCACAGGTGAACTTCCCACATAGCAACCAACTAGAGAGATATGCAATGTCATCTGGCCGGCTACCTCTGCAAAATGAAAAGGCACCATTCATAAGAAACACCACATCAGTGGGAGGCTTCACTGAGCAAATGGCACCATTCAACATGGCAAGCAACATAAGCTCAGTAGGAACGATGTTGAATGGTAGCTCTACACTTGATGCAAGTAGAACTTCAACTAATGATACTCATCTGGTCAACAGTGAAAGAACTACTTCGATGCTTCACACCCTTCAGACATATGATTTCGTCTCATTGACTCAGCTACATGATGGTGGGGATGGAGCTAGCAGTGTTCCTATGCAAGAAGGCACACTTAATCAGCAACCTCTTAATGATCATTTGAATGAAATCAGTGCCTTCTCAATGGATGATATATTTTCCAACATGCATGTGGAAGTAAGAACTTTTCTCATTTGTACGAATCTATGTGCTCCATATGAATTGTTGACTTGGACATGTGTAATTAAATAACACTTTTCTCTCAATGTAGGATTTCACTGGAGATGATGCTATCGTGGAAGAAGCATGATAGTTCTATAAGTTAAGTCGCCCAATGCGTGAGATGGTTGATCAAGAGTATCATGATCGAGGGGCCTCCTTAAGGCAATAGAGTGCTTTGACAAGTTTGCAAACATAGTGATATGTGTATCCATTTTCATATACCAGTGGTTCTTTGAGATACACTTTGTCTTGCATAACATTGAGAATTGACATGTTCCGCACAACAAGCATAAACACCACCCTTTGGAGACTGTTGTGCCTAATACAAGTCTTATGGTGGAAGCTTTTATAATAGGTTCGCATCCTGATAATCAAAACATTAGTGTTTCTTGAAGCCTATGGTAACAAGGTACACTTTATACCTGGGATAAACTTGTTTCTGGCCCATCATGTTTTTACCTCGAGGTGGAGTACTAAGTGCCATGTGTTACTCTTCATTAGAGCCGTATATTCTTCATCCATAGCTTTTCTTCATTTTTTACTAGAAGCCACAACTAAAGACAACTAAAGATGAACCTCATTTAGTATCATCCATAGAGCGAAGAATTGCATGATGTGCTCAACGGAGACATTGGTGGTGGTGGTCGTGGTGGCAGTGGGAGGGGTGTGATCTTGAGAATCCAAGCGTTGTGCTTTAGGGACTCCCCCACCTTCCAATTCTTTCTCTTGGAAGCTTCATAGATGAGTGGGGCAATATCTTTAGGCTTTCACCCAAGAAGCCAAGGAGAGTCCAAAAAGTGGGTCCTCACACCATTACTAACGGTGATGGTGGTGGAAGCATAGAAAAAGTTGAGGTCCTCCCCATTGCATGGGTTTCCTATTCCCACCCACATCTTGGTGGGATCCTTCCATTCATACCACGACCATCGCAACCGGAGAGCCCTCGTAAACTTGTCTGTGTTGAGGACCCCAAGACCTCCGTACTCAAGTGGCTGGCAAACATACTCCCAATTCCCCTTGCATTTGGCCCCCGTTGTCTTGTCCGAAACGGACCAAAGGAAATCTCTCTCGAGCTTGTTGGCGTTGTGAAGTATGTGGTGGGATGACCAACGGGGTGGTGGGGTAGACCACTTGGGATATGATCACGGACTTGACAAGAGCCGTACATCCAATGGTGGTGATGTTTTGGCCATCATACATTGATAACTTGCTTGCAACTTTGTCCACGAGAAATTGGAGATCCATCAACTTTAGCTTCCAAACCAAGATTTTTTTTGGTAAGCTGAAATTGGAATCCATCATGGAAAAGTTGGGCCGAACAATTTCACCATATATCTTCGTCCCTTCTCGCGCGTCAGTCATTGCAAAATTCTTTTCGCCAACTTGTCGTCGATTGTTCCCACCACCCACCATGCTACTTTTGCCTTCTGACTCGCCCCGTCGCTCGTTCCCCTTCCCGATTGCACCCATCACCGCCCCCGTCCCCGCCGCGCTTAGTTTCTACCCCACCTAGAGGCCACGATGGCCGCGTCTAAGAGCTTACTAACGAGGATGGCCTCGACCTGCGCCCTGGAGACTGCGCACAGGACGCACATCTTCAGGATTGATGGGTACAACCTGAACAGGGGCTTCTGCATCGGCAAGTCCATTGAGTCCGCTACCTTCGTCGGCGGCTACGACTGGTGCGTCCGCTTCTACCTGGACGATCATACGGAGGATAACAAACACTGTGTGGCCGTCGGCATCGTGCTCAAGACCGAAGTCACGGAGGTGAGGGTACTCTATGATATGTGGCGGGTCGACCGACAAGGCCACAGGGTCTCAACCACCATGGTTTTCTTTTTCATCGGAAAAAGACCAATCACTTTGCAAGTTATCTTCTTAAATGCTAACCCATGAGGTCTGTGGTTTTCTTAGTCACATTGCAAAGTGGGTACATAACTCTGATTGAATTAGAAGAGTCGGATATGAATCAAATCAAGATCACAAGAAGAGGGGGGATGACTTTACTGAATATGTGGAGCTGCACCGCCGCCGCCCACATCCGAGTTCCCACCTCGCCGCTCCTATAGAATGGCCGCCTCATTTTGCACCACTCTATGCGTTCCTTTCCGCCGAAAGAAAGGGGATAACCGAAGCAGACCTAACGGAGAATGCCGTTAGCTGACAGAACTGAAAACTGACGAAACTGAAAACGGCACCTAACACTGAACGCAAAACTGTTAATTGAATTTGACACCTACGACTTCAGACACTAGACTAACAGATGAATAAGACCAAAGTCAAAAGAATGGCTAAATAAGGATACAACCAAAGAAGTAAAACAATACCGATGGAAAAGTCAAATCTCACAAACTTTGATCAAGTTTGTGGAGAAAAATATTTACATCTAGAATGTCAAACATATATCATTAGAATTATCATAAGACGTAGTTTCATAATTCATATATTTGGTATTGTGGACATAAATAGTTTTCTTCATAAACTTGGTCAAAGTTTGAGTTTTCAAAAAATCTATATGCACTACATTAAGGAATGGAGGGAGTACTAGTGACAGGAGATAATCCCATTTCTTTTAAGAAAAAATAGAAAGATGATGAATGCTAGTGGCAGAAATGTGGTTACTTCTTTAAAACTTCTTACTGAAGACCCACACCAAACAACTCCGAACAATAATGAAAAAATGCAAAACACAGAAAACCGGTCAAAAATACTTCCATCAAACACAATGATCCGAGGAGTTGGATCTTACCGACATAATTGAATTTGACAGTATACTAAATACTGAATTTCAAATAATTGAAAAGTTACTCCCGGCATTGAAAAAATGGTCAATCCAAAAAAATATCCAAAATACTGATAAAAACTAAACGCAAAGCCTCCATGTTAAAGCCTCCATGATAAAAACTAGACTAGCATTTAAAAGGTTTTCATGCCCCATATTAAATTGTTCTTCACAGTGCCATACATAACCAAACAAAAGATACCTATAAAAGAGAGAAGACACATAGTTCGTCCATCCCGCGGAGCGACATAGATAGATGACATCAGTAAGACATAGATAACAACGACAAAAACTAGAGCATTAACACTGATGGTAATCTTAAATCAGGCTGACAACCATCATTTCTAGATTGTCCAATGCACTATTCCTAACGGTGATTAGCACCACTCGGCCAACCTATTTTAGTTCGTTCTCCTCCGTGAATTCCTCCCAGGCATCCTTGCTGAATGCCATACGACCATCTGGAAAAAAGGAAGTGAGGAAATAAATATGAAGGCTAAAGAAGTGAAATGAGAAAATATAGATAGACTAAAAACTGAATGAATGCTAAACTAGCAAACTAACCTACCACTGAAGAAATGAGTACCAGGAGAAAGCTAAAAATTACTCACAAAAAAGAGAGGAGAAAGCTACAAATGACTGAAACATGAATAAGACTGAAAATGTCACTGAACCTAATCATGAAATACATAAATCAATAACTGGAGAAAACTTAAGGACATATCTATTGAAGAAACCTGGTAGACTGAGGAATGACACTAAAAAAAATGCCTACCACCAAAACAAACTGAGAAATAAATATCTAAACTGAAGGAAACTCTGAAAAACTGAAAGAAACCTACAATGAAGATGATTGAAACCGAAAACTAAAACTGAAACACTGACCAGTCATCTTTAATTTCCATAATAAATCACTGAAAAAATTATCATGGAAAAACTGAAAAATTGAAGAGTAATCACTGGAATCATGGAGGCTGATAATAGAGAATACATGGATGCTGATGACTGAAAACACTACTAAATAATAATCAATGTCTGAAGCCTGATGACAACTAGCACACAAACAAAATTTGAGGAACTAATGGATGAATGACAAGTGAACTAAAGGAAATGATAGAAAAAACTAATCAATGATAATGGATCTAATGACTGAAGAGAAAATAAACAAAGATGAATGGAAAGGAGTAAGAATCACTAGAATACAAACCAATAAATTCTAAACTGACAAAAAATCAACATGGAAGACAAAACTAAGGAAGACACACAAATAAGAAAAACCGATGCCTTGAAAGACTGAATCAACTACAAGACTGAAACTAGAATTGAGATACTGAAGAATAACCATTACAAAATTAAAATACATAGACAAACTCCTCCTAGAGAATATGCATTTGCATTTCAGTTATTTTATTTGATGTATTATTTAGAGCTCTCGCGCCGCCCCTCCTCTCCCGCCTAGTACCGCGTAGCTTCCCAGGCTCGCCTCCACCTCCCTCCCCCAGTCCTCTAGCCCTGCCATGGCGTCCCCCAACGCCGACTGAGGGAGTCCTGGATTAGGGTGTATCCGGACAGCCGGATTATATCCTTTAGCCGGACTGTTGGACTATGAAGATACAAGATTGAAGACTTCGTCCCGTGTCCGGATGGGACTCTCCTTGGCGTGGAAGGAAAGCTTGGCAATACGGATATGTAGATCTCCTTCCTTGTAACCGACTCTGTGTAACCCTAGCCCCCTCCGGTGTCTATATAAACCGGAGGGTTTTAGTCCGTAGGACAAGAAACAATCATACCATAGGCTAGCTTCTAGGGTTTAGCCTCTCTGATCTCGTGGTAGATTAACTCATATCATCAAGAACAATCAAGTAGGACGTAGGGTATTACCTCCATTAAGAGGGCCCGAACCTGGGTAAAACATCGTGTCCCCTGCCTCCTGTTACCATCCGCCTAGACGCACAGTTCGGGACCCCCTACCCGAGATCCGCTGGTTTTGACACCGACATTGGTGCTTTCATTGAGAGTTCCTCTGTGTCGTCACCGTTAGGCTTGATGGATCCTTCGATCATCGATAGCGATTCAGTCCAGGGTGAGACTTTTCTCCCTGGATAGATCTTTGTATTCGGCGGCTTCGCACTGCGGGCCAACTCGCTTGGCCATCTGGAGCAGATAGAAAGTTACGCCCCTGGCCACCAGGTCAGGTTTGGAAGCTTAAACTACACGGTCGACATCCGCGGAGACTTGATCTTCAACGGATTCGAGCACCTGCCGAGTGCGCCGCACGGTCGCGATGAGCATGATTTAGCTCT